GGGCATCGTTTACGGACAGACAGGGGCGGTTCTGCCGCAAGGCAAACAAGGCGTTGGCCTTGGGTGGCAGACTTCAGGGGGGCGGGCGGAGGAGGCGGCAGCATCAAAGGACGGAGTCCGCAAGGAGGCAGAGAAAAGCGGTGAGGAGGCAGTGGTGGAGGAGGGGGAAGAGACAGAGGAGACGGACCAGCAGGAGGGGGCGGGGCGAAACAGACCATGTATCAGAAAGGGGCGGGGCCAGGATGCCATCGCGCTATAGGAAGCTGGTGCATGCTTGACAGAACACTGGGTCATAGAAGAGCCGTCGAGGTGCGAAGGAGGCTGGGTCCTGCAGAGCTAGCATATCCTAATGTCAATGTAAACAGCTGGCTGGTGAACTGGGCCGGGCTGATAAGACAACCTGAGATATCACTCCAGAGAGCACAGGAACCTACAAGCGATCTGGTACAAACCATTACCATGCATGGTCACTGCTGAGCTGCAACGCTGTAATGGTAAAACCATGCACCACCTGACCTAATGTTACAATTACTACCCGTTCTGGTTACTAGTCCCTCCTGTGCTGTCCTGAGGTCTATGCCCCGGCTTAGGTCTTCTTCTAGCTGTTAATTTGGTCCTCACATATGTAATATACTGTATATTCTTTTTGTTTGAGATGATCCTTGTGTCACTTCCCAGGCTGGCTGACCTTATGGAGGAACACCAGGAAGAGCTGGCCACTATTGAATCCATTGACTCAGGCGCGGTGTACACGTTAGCTTTAAAGACCCACGTTGGGATGTCCATCCAAACTTTCCGCTACTTTGCTGGCTGGTGCGATAAAATTCAGGTGAGTTGCTGATGTTTTTTCTCAAATCTCATTTACACCGGAAAGGACTGTCACTGTCTTTTAAGTCCTGGTCTGTAAACTTTGTAAATGAAACCTATTTTATTTTATGGTCTGATTGTGATACCGGATTTTACCTCCAGGAGGCACTGCAGGAATACTATTTAAAGTGTATGTTTGGGCAAAATAAATGCAACACATGCACATTATCATTTTAAAGGCTTTGCAAGTACAGAAAATACCTTTTAGCTCTGCCAGAATTGTACTCAGTGGTTGTTGGCTGAAAAAGCACACGGCATTGGTGTGGACTGAGTGGTGAAAGCCCTGTCCAGATGTCTTTTGTGAAACTAGCCAAACCCAGCCACTGTCCTCATTCCTACAGCATAGGCACAGTTTATTCTGTAGTCCCAAGATAAGGACTAGGAGGGCTAATTAGACTCCTAGAGAAAACAGGAAGTGAGCACAGAACAAATGACAGCTCTGAATTTCTGTCATGATTAGCGGTTATTTTTCCCGTTTATCAAACAGATATAATAAAGGATTAGAGACATGAAGAGGAGCTAAGTCTTAACTGCGTATAGTAAGATTGTAATGACTTGTATGTCTTTTAGGGGTCCACCATCCCCATAAACCAAGCACGTCCGAACCGGAACCTGACATTCACCAGGAGAGAGCCAATCGGGTGAGTGTAATTCTTTGTAGCCATCACCACTGTTATGGAATAACTTACAAAGCTAAGCCTGTAATTACCTTTTTTTTTGTTGTAATGCAACTCACTACCATGCATTGTGGTGCAGTGCATTGCAGGTGCATTGCTTTACTACCTTGGGGGGCATTCGATGAATACAAGATGAATGGCACCAGGGCTGAATCTATAATGAGGTAGCCTGGGGCTGTTGCCTCAGGTGGCATCTCTTTGGGTCACATAGGGGTGCAGCAGGCAGAGCCTGCCCCCCTTTTTCTGGCCAGAGTGTCCTAGGTTGCTAAGAACCAGGTGGGGAGATGTGTAAGGGCCATACACATCTCCCCTCCCAGCCCTTCGCAACCTGGGATGCTCTGACTGCCCACCCAACCTGCTGACGTCATTGGTTGCCAGGAGCTGGGGAAGCTCTGGACGGTGCCCTGCTCAGCTCCTGGCAACCAGTGACATCAGTGAGCTGGGCGGGACACCAGCCAAAGTTGAGTGGTACACCACCAGGATGCCAACCAGAGCGTCCTTAGCGTGCACCACCAGCACCCCAACAAACCCTTTCCCCTCGGAACATAACCACCAGCATTGCCTAACCCACCCGTCCCCCTCTGTCCCCCTGAATGTCACCACAAGGCAGAAACACAGAAGTGTAATGGATCTAAAGGCATAGGTTCTCAGGGCCCATTCACATCTCATCGATGTTGTTGTTAACCTGCGTTGCATTGAGCCCTTCATTATAAATTGGCTGCCAACGCACCACAATGGATGAGAAAATGCACATGGACAATTGTATTTAACAATGCAGCGCACCACAATGCGTGGTATATGACTGCTGGTACTTTTGTCATGCATCATGCATTGCACTCTATTCACAATGAATGGCACCATTAGTGTGCACGTGTTATCATGTCTTGCCACAGCGTACATTGACAGGGCCTCAATATTACAGTGTTATTATAAATAGATTTGTATCCCTTAAACGTGACTCAAATCAGCACAATAATGGAGATGTATACACATAGATATAATACTATATAATTCTGTTCTTTCCCTGAACTGACAGCGTGTGTGGCATTATCATCCCATGGAACTACCCTCTAATGATGTTGGCCTGGAAGGCAGCCGCCTGCCTCGCTGCCGGTAACACCGTGGTCCTGAAGCCCGCCCAGGTGAGACTGCCAGTGTAGTAAGGAGCTGACAGAAGCTTTACTGTTGGATTTTCTTGTACTTTTTTATTTTCTTGGTTCACTTCTTGTCGTACAGAGCAGATTGTAGTGACCCGGCAGAACTTGATTGTATTTCTATCCATCTAGTTCTGAGATTTACACAGCACTGCCAGAGTCTAAAGGTCGGCTGGTGACCTGACCTTTCTGTGCTGCAGATAGGCAATAAAGCTTGGTCACCTCCCCCCCCCCCCAGCCTGTGATTAGTCAGCGAAGGAGCAGCAGCAGTTCACCCCTTTCTACCTGTCAGCATCTTCCTTATGAGCACTGGTTGGCTCTTTGTGCTGTTTCTCCCTCTCACACTGTGAGCTCTGCTGCACAGGGTTTACTGGAGGCTGATACCAAGACAGATTCCGCTACTTACATTAGCTGGGTTTAAAAATACACGTCATTATTTGTTTATCACATTCCTGCCTAATTGGCTTTTTTGTTAATATCATCATGGAGTTCAGCATTGATATTAGTAGGAAAGAAATATGTTACTTTGTATCCAGTTTTCCTTATATGTGCAGATATTTTGTCACCATCTTACCTGGAGCCGGTATGTGTCCCGTACAACTTACCTGTGACAGATCATTACCATGGGAGAACGCGGGAATGTTAGAGGAGCGGTATTCCTTATTCAGGAATTCATTCTTATAAAACGGCATTTAGACGTTTTTATAGATATTTGTGTATATCTGCTCAATATATATCATTATATCAAATATTGATATCAAAATGCCTTTATGAATGGGTGTCAGTCTGGCGGAGTGGGCGTTCCCAGGAGTGATTGAAAGAACTGACATCCAATGAATGAAAGGGGCGGGTCAGGGAGGAGAGTTTTTTTTTTTTTTTGAC